AAAATTCACAACAAAAATCAAATCTTAGAGCGCTGCAACAGACCAAACTATCTAAATCTGTCCGCCAACCACAACACCTATAAAATGAGAACCAAATTGACATAACACGGGGGTGGGGAGGGCCAAGGGGATGTGTAAAATTCCTTTAATACGACGGAAGTCGTAGAACACTTAGCCCAAAATTTCCAGCATGCTGGTAAAGCAAAGGTAGTAAAGTAAAGATTTACATCCCAAATCAAGTCCAAAACTCGAAGATCTGATTTTTAGTAAGGATAAAAGGAGGTGAAGGAGAGGTCGCAGATAGAGGTGTCGGTAAGGGAAAAAGGGATAGATGGATGTGAGAGAAAAGGGTTGCAGAAATAGAATTAGTTAGTGAAACAAGGGCAAAAAGGAGGAGGAGAAGAAAAGTAAGGTAGCAAAATGGGAAACTCATAGCTAAAACCGGTGAAAAAATGCATGGGAAATAGCAAAGAAAAATGAGCAATGTAGGACACAAACAAAAGACTAAAGAGAAGAAGAAAACAAGCAAGAAGACCAAGGGGGCTTGCCGACCCTAACCAAAGGAAGAAGTCGGCGTCAAAAGCAAGGGAAATTAGGGGTTCTGTAAAAGAGAGAAAAAAGGGAGCAGTTAGGGTTTTTTTAAGTGTTTGACAATTGATCTAGCCTTTATGGGATGATTGTTAAGGGCTTTTGCCCATTTGGGTTGAGATTGTAGTTTTGTTTCATGCCGTTAAAGTTAACTTTATCATTCTCATACTACAATTCACCTGACATGCTTTGATTAAGTGTGACTAGTTTATGTTTCCATAATAAAGACATAGCAGCAAATCTTTTGCGGGTATCTAAACTAAAAATTTGACCAAATAAAGTGTAGCTCAATTGGTTAAGAATTGTGACGTGTTCACCAGAAGCTCAAAATTCGATTTCACTATCCCAAAATTAAAAATAATAAATAAAACAATCGACTCCGAAATGGTATTTAATATGAATTTTTTTTTTTAAATAACAATAAAAAGTATGGTTACCACTTTTAGAGCTGAAAACAGAGCGCTGTTAAACCCAGAATGTTCATAAAAATGTTGAACAGAAGGAACCAAAGTCCCAGATAAAACACCAAGGCTCCTGAGTGGCAACTCCTCACTCTCACTTTATCATCTCAACCACTCCCAACCACCAACCAATCCAAAGCTAACAATGCAAGCAGCTTTGGCGATCATGGCAGCTCAGACTGATGCTTTCATCCCCCACTCTCTTCTCCCAACTCCAAAACCCTAACCTTTACTCAATTCCTCATTCCTTCTTCCATGGCATCTCCCTCAAGCTCCCACTCAAATCCCAATCCATGTCCTTCGCCGCCTCCGCCACCACCCCTAAGCCTCTTACAGTCTTCGTCGCAACCAAGAAAGTCGTCACCAGTGGCGAAGCCATGGAAGGATGAAGAGTGGCGACCGCCCCTCCCCTCACCGGAAAACACAACTGCAGCCGAGGTTTCGCCCATCCCCTCACCGGAAAACCCAGCCCCTCTATGTCTATTTTGGCACCGGAACTGGTTCTGCTGCGTGCAGCAGCAGACTGGGTTCTTTTTTTTCTTTTTAAATCTAGGCCAAAACGACATCGTCGTTTTGGTCCTGGTAAAAAAAAATTAATAAAAAATTTAAAGTCTGGCCCGCGTGTCCCAAAGTCAGGCCCTCCATGTCCTATCTCTATTTCAAATTAGTTAGGCCCCTCCACATGAAACTTTCAATGTTTGAAAAAAACCAAAAAAATAAATATATGTATTGGGGGGACCGCGTGGCGTGTCCCCCATTCCTTCATTCAGTCAGCCCGCGTGTCATGCTTTACCATTCCAAATTTCTCCCTTCGCCAATCAGAGATAGAGAGAGTGCAAAGCTGCTCCTAAAATCCCAGCAACGCCCAACCCCAATGGAATGGAAAATAAATCCCTATTGGCTGATTTATGTTGCCTTTTTGCTGCTAACACTAGCCACTCCAGCTACTAAGCCAACTTCTAGCCTTCAATTTCAAAGGTAAATTTTTTAATTCCTAATTTATAATCCCTAACCCTAATTAATTATTTAATATGAATTTTGTTTAATTAGTATAGAATCATATGGTAATGCACTAATATGGTTATTGGTTATTGATTATTGATATGATTCTATGATTATTGATTGATATGAAATTATGAAATTATTTTTTAGGGTGAAAATTAAAATTTGAATTTTTGATTAGTTGTATTCATATGATTAGTTGAATGAATTTTTTATTTATTGAATAATTTATATGCTTATTGGTATTGATTAATTGAATTGTTGGTTGGGTTATTATGCATATTAGTATAGTCTACTCTAGGATTAAGAGTCTAAGAATTTTTTTTCTTTCCATTTTACAGTTACTTAATGGAACGATACTATAAGAAACAATGCTTAAATCCTCATTCAAACATTTCGGGTAGTCCTTCTCCTTCAAATATTCCAAGTAGTCATCCTCCTCCTCCTTCAAATATTCCAAGAACTCCTCTTTCGAATATTCCGAGTAGTTCACAACAAAGTGAGCCCACTGAGTTGGATGAAATAATGGCTAATCTTCATGCAAACCCTGGATATAGACATCGAATGCTTGATTATCTACCTAATTATCGTGAAGCAATTCGTAGACACTATCTCCAAAATGATCCTTGTCAACCTAGAGACCACATTATGCCAAGAAAAGTTAGCAACAAAAGATGTTTTATCACCGGTTGGTTTGATAGGTTTAAGTGGTTAGAGTATAGTATATCAAAAGATGCTGCATTTTGTCGTTATTGCTATCTTTTCAAATGTGATTTCGATCAAATGGGTAGCACTAGAAGTGATGTCTTCACTGAGAAAGGGTTTACAAATTAGAGGAAAGGACCCGAAAATTTTCGAGCCCATGAGGGAGGTGTTGGAAGTCTTCATAATAAAGCTGTACAACAAGCTAAAGATTTGATGACACAAAAACAACACATTGAAACATTTGTGATTAAGCAAACCGATGAAGCTCGCAATAATTATCATACTTTATTGAGTGCCTCACTTGAGTGCACAAGATGGTTGTTGGGACAAGGTTTGCCTTTTCGTGGTCACGATGAATCGTTGAAATCAAACAATAGAGGTAATTATTTGGAGCTTATGCAATTTTTTTCCAAGCATAATGAGCAAGTTAGGAAGGTTGTGTTTGAGAATGCTCCCAAGAATCTTAAATATACTTCTTCTGATATTCAAAAAGATCTTGTTCGTGCTTGTGCCATTGAAACTATAAATGCAATCACTAAAGATATGGAAGGTGAATTTTTTTTCTCTTTTGGTTGATGGATCACGTGATTCTTCAACTAAAGAGCAAATGGCGGTGGTATTGCGTTATGTGAACAAAAAATGAGAAGCAATTGAAAAGTTTTTGGGTGTGCAACATGTCTCTTCTACAACTAGTAGCTCGCTTGAAGAGGCTATTGAGAGATTCTTTGCTACAACAAATTTGAATATGTCCAAGTTACGAAGATAGGGCTATGATAGAGCTAGTAATATGAAATGTGAGCTAAATGGCCTTAAAACAAAGATTTTGAACAAGTATCCTCAAGCATTTTATGTTCATTGTTTTGCACATCAACTTCAACTAGCTCTTGTAGCCGTTGCAAAGGGAATTGAGGGTGTCACCATTTTCTTCAACAATGCTGGTATTTTGGTCAATACAATTGGATCATCGTGTAAGCGTCGTGATGCATTTAGAGAGAAACAACAAGAACAAATTAAGAAAGCTCTTGATATTGGTGATCTTGAAACGGATAGAGGGTTAAATCAAGAGAATAGTCTCATGCATCCTTGTGATACACGTTGGAACTCACATTATGGTACTATAGTTAGTATTATTGTCATGTTTGAAGCCGTGGTGGAGGTGCTTGAATGGATTAAAGAAGATACCAACCAAGACAATTTTGGTGAAACAAGTCAGTTATTCCATAACATACAAACTTTTGATTTTGTGTTTCACCTTTTTTTTATGAGACTCATATTGGGAGTTACAAATGAGTTATCACAAGCATTACAAAAGAAAGATCAAGATATTGTGAATGCAATGGCGTTAGTGGAAGTATGCAAGTAAAGACTACAATCCTTGAGAGATGATGACTTTGGGGACTTGCTTGATGATGTACAAAAGTTTTGTCAAGAGCATGATATTGTTGTTCCTAACATGGAGGATTTGCATTTTGTACCTGGAAAATCAAGGCGTAAAGCTCCAAGACTCACAAACTTCCATTACTATCGTGTGGACCTCTATTTTCAAGTCCTTGATACATAATTAAAGGAATTGAATGATCGCTTCAATGAGGTAAACACCGAGTTGCTTCTTTGTATGGTATGTTTGAGTCCGGTGAATAATTTTGCATCTTTTGACAAAGCAAAAATTGTTCGTCTAGCTCAACTTTATTCTCAAGATTTTGATCGTATGGACCTCATGAATCTTCCAATTCAACTTGACAATTACATTCACGATATGAAGATGCATAGTGAGTTTTCATCATTGAGAGGAATTGGTGATCTTGCAAAGGAGTTGGTGAAGACCGGGAGGTGTGCAAGCTACATATTAGTGTATAAGCTTCTTACATTCGCTTTGGTGTTACCGATTGCAACCGCTTCTGTGGAGAGAGCTTTCTCTGCTATGAAGATTGTGAAAACACCATTGCGTAACAAAATAGGAGATCAATGGTTGAGTGATAGCATGCTTGTTTACATAGACAGAGATGTATTTGCTTTTATTGATATGAGCCTATTATGCGACGTTTTCATGATATGAAACCTAGTCGGCAACAATTGTAATTTGTTTAAATTGATAAATTATGGAAGACATTACTATATAAAATGATTTGGTTGTTGCTATTCTTTTGAACCTTACACTCTTTTAACTTCACCCATCCCCCCCCCCCCCGTCAATTCTTGGCTTCGCCATGGTCGTCACTGTCCTCAAGGGCATTTCCAATGTCGAATGAGTCGTCACCTTGAGCCAAGAAAACAATGGTATCTTTATATAACTCTACCCCCTTCTGTAAATGATTGTGTTATCGATATCTGTTTCCTTTTTCCGACATGGGTTTTCAAAAAATTGGTTTATGTCCTTAAATGGTCAACTCTGCTAGGTTTAATTTCATATTGTTTTATGTCTAAGAGAATCGAAATGTGGAAAAGATTATGTGTTTGTTCGATATTTTCGCGGTTAATTGAAATTGAATTCTGGATTTTGGGTAGTGAGTAGCTTGTTTGGACTCAAGGCAAGAGTTTAATCTATAGATTTTCTTTTTTTCTAGTTTTAACTTCTGTGAGTTGAGAATTTGAAAATGTGAGTACTCAAAATTTCCCAAACTTGGATTATATTTAATTTAGTTGAATGCTGTTTCAATGGTTCCTTTAATTGTGTGTGAGTGGTCTGATTCTATGCTCAAAATCTTGTGTTATCTGAACTCATAATCTTGATGGAGTAATGACTGCTTACTGGTGATTGTGTTTTACTGTTATCAGGTCCTACAACCGTGAATGTTCGTATTACTGGACTTACCCCCGGGCCTCATGGGTTTCACTTAGTGAGTGTTTTTGAATTAGGTTCTTCATCTTTGGATTAGTAAACTTGTTTCTAAGTGTTTTTCTTTCTTGTGTAGCATGAGTATGGTGATACGACAAAATGGATGCATATCCACAGGTAGGGCTTTATATCATTTCAAGCTTAAAATTTTATGGTTATAGTATTATGTAGTTATATTTGTGATTTTATTTTGATGCCATTCTAATGAATTTCTTTTTCCCTTACTAGGACCACATTTCAATCCTAAACAGTTGACACATGGTGCTCCTGAGGATGAAGTCTGTCATGCGGGTGACCTGGGAAACATAGTTGCTAATGCCGATGGTAATTTCATATTTTAATTCCCTTTACAAACTTGTTCTTTTCAATACCACAACCTGTTAGAATCTCAGAGACTATGATCTCTGTGGTAAGAAATGAATCGAAAATGGTGATGAAGATTTCTTGAAAAAAAGTCTCAAAGAGTTGCTAAGAGAAGGTTCTCACAGAAAATTTTCTTCTTCATTCATACCTCACACAAACCGTGCGAGAGGTATATTACTGTTAGAGAGAGAGATTCTCTCTCTATGATACAAAACTCAAATCCAACCATTCATGCAATCTACCCTATAAGATAGTTACATGTGTCAACATAAATCACTAACTCTAAGATTACATCTTAGCTGTCCAATTGGAATGTAATCCAATGGCTCACATTTAAATCTGTAAACTAAAACTAAATACAAATTTATTCAGCTAAAACACTTATATTTCAACACTCCCTTTTAAGTGTTTAGCTGAGATTACTCCAAGCTTTCTTCTCAAGTATTCGAATCGATCACTGGCCAATGCCTTGGTAAAAATATCTGCAGCTTGCTCTTCAGTTTTGTAGTACAGTAAATCGATCTCTCCATCTTGCAAAGCATCTCGAATGAAATGAAATCTTCTGTTTATATGCCTTGTCTTATGATGATGCACATGGTTCTTGGTTATGGCTATAACTAAGGTATTATCACATAGAATTGGTGTAGCGTCAACCTGTTCTTCACCAAAATCTGAGAGAACAAATCTCAGCCAGATTGCTTGTGAAGTGGCTTATACTACACTAACATATTCAGCCTCTGCAGTGGATAGTGCAACATTGCTTTGCTTGACTGATGCCCAAGAAAATACACCTAAACCAAGATTAAATGCATATCCAAATGTGCTTTTCATATGATCCTCGCTTCTTGACCAATCACTATCACAGTAGCCAATAAGCATTGCTTCTTTCCATTTCTCATATGTTATACCATAATCAAGTGTGCCTTGAATGTACCTAAGTACTTTATTAGCAGTTCCCATATGTTTTCTAGTAGGACCATGCATAAATCTTGCTAACAGACTTGCTGCAAACATGATATCTGGCCTTGCAGCAGTCAAATATAACAAACTTCCAACTATCTGCCTATATAAGCTTTCATCAGCTTGTTCACTTCCATCTGACTTAGACAAATTTTCATTCACTGCAAGAGGAGTAGCAACTGATTTGCAATCTTTGAGACCGAATTTATCCAATAGTGTCTTTGCATATTTCTTCTGGTGCAAGAAAATGCAAGTGTCAGTTTGTATCACACCTAAACCCAAGAAGTGGTGCAGCATCCCGAGATTAGTTATTTCATACTGTTTCATCATCTCAATTTTGAACTTCATCATCAACTCTTGTGAACTTCCAGTGTATATGATATCACCCACATATAAAGAAACAATGAGTATTCCACTTTATGCAATCCTTACATATAGTGTTGCTTCATTAGGACTCATTTGAAAACCAGCTTTAGTGAAGTAAGAGTTGATCTCTTCATACCAAGCTTTTGGAGATTGCTTAAGACCATATAATGCCTTCTTGAGTCTGTAAACTCCATCTTCCTTGTTCTTGATCACAAATCCAGGAGGTTGATCAACATACACTTCTTCATGTAATACTTCATTCAAAAAATGCAGATTTCACATCTACTTGGAACAATTTCCACCCTTTCTGTGCTGCCAATGTAACCAATGTTTTGATTATATCAAGCCTAGTAACTGGTGCAAAAGTCTCATTGAAATCTATTTCAGGCTTTTGAGAGTATCCCTTTGCAACCAATCTGGCTTTGTTTTTCTGCACTGAGTTATCAAGGTTTAACTTGATTTTGTAAACCTATTTAACACCAATTACTGGTTTATCAGATGGTCTACTAACCAACTCCCAAGTATTGTTCTTCTCTATCATTGCAATTTCACTCTCCATTGCTTTCTGCCATGCTTCATCCTTAACAGCTTCTTCAAAAGTTTTAGGTTCAATAATGTACAAATTGCATCTTTCATACACTTCTACAATGCTTTTATATTTCAGTGGAGTATGATCGAAATCCTGTGGACCTGAACTTTCACTTTGTCCAGTAGTACCACTTCTGACTTGTGTTTCATCAATGTTTCTTGGTGCCTTACCATTCATTTCTGACATCTCAGCTCAAGTTAAGCTTGATTCACCAGTCTCATTTTCTTTCTCAGTAAACATCTCAGTGAGTGGAACTGAAATACTACATTCCTTCTGTGTACTGCAATCCCAACTTGCTTCCTCATTGAATACTACATCTCTAGATATAATTACCTTCCCAGATTCAATGTTATACAACTTGTAACCTTTCTCACAGCTTCCATACCCCAAAAAACACACCTTGTGCTAGACAAGTCAAGCTTCTGCCTCTGTTGTTCTGGGACATGTGCATAACACAGAGAACCAAACACCTTTAAATGCTTAATTCCTGGCTTTCTTCCACTATAGGCTTCAAATGGAGATTTTTTTTTGTCCAAAGCCTTAGTTAGACACCTATTTAAGACATATACTGCAGTGTTAAATACCTCAGCCCAAAACTCCAGAGGTATCTTCTTCTCAAACATCATACACTTAGCCATCTCCACAATGGTCTTGTTCTTCCTTTGAGCCACTTCATTATGCTGTGATGAGTATGCCACAGTGAGTTGCCTTTCCATTCCTATTTCTTCACAAAACCTGTTGAACTCAATAGATGTATACTCTCATCTTCTGTCACTTCTCAGTTTCTTCAACTTATACCCACTTTGCAGTTCAACAGTAGCCTTAAACTTCTTAAAGACATTGAACACCTCATATTTGTATCTCAGAAAGTAAACCCAACACATCCGAGTACACTCATCTATAAAAGTGAGAAAGTACCTATTTCCAGCTTTTGTAACAGTTTGCATTGGTCCACAAACATTAGTGTGTACCAATTCCAGTGGAATAGTGGTCTTACTTGTTGTCTCTCTTGGAAAGGAATCTCTACAATGTTTCCCAAGAATGCACCCCTCACACACTTCATTGGTGTTCTTAATTTTTGGCAATTCAAGCACCATTTCTTTCTCATGTAGCAACTTCAAACTATTGACATTCAGATGCCCCATTCTTCTATGCCAGATCAAAGTTGACTTCCTCACACTTGCTTTTAATGCAAAATGCAAATCTGTGTGAAGTTTCAAGGGAAAACTTTTGTTTCCTCTCATTGGCACCTTAGCAACCATATTAGAACGAGAGCAGTCATCATAAATTTCAGCCGTATTATCTCCAAAAATCAGAAAGTATCCATGCTCCGTCATCTGCCCTACATTTAGTAGATTCTCCTTAAGACCTGAGACAAGCATTACTTCTTTGATATACCTCATTCCCATCATAGTGTCCACCACCAAACTTTCTTTTCCAATAACATCAACCAATTGTCCAGTTCCCATTTCTACTTTTGCGTTTATGCTTCTATCGATATCAACTAGCACATTTTCTCTGCCAGTCATGTGGTTACTACAACCACTATCCACATACCATCCATCTTCAATAAACTTCTTGTCAACTGCATTATTTACATAGAACATGGTTGGTGTGGGAAGAACCTGAGTTGCAAAATTTAGCTGTTGAACACCTTGAGCACCTTTCTTATTATTGCAGTCCCTTGCAATATGACCAATTTTCCCACAACAATGACACTTCGGTTTGCCTTTAAGAAAACAATCTCCATAATGGTATTTATCACAGTGCCTGCAAAGGTTTCTACCACCTTTTACAGCTGCAATTTGCTTCCTAAATTGATAAGCAGGCTTTTGATCCCACTTTTAAAATTTTGGTTTCCAATTCTTCTGGTATCGATTGCCTTGATTTCCAGAAGAATTGGCAGGTTTGGAATTCACACTTAGACTTGCAAATGCTCTCTCAATCTTGTTCTCATTATGTCTCTTCAATCTCTGTGTAAAACTTTTCAATGAGGCAACTACCTCTTGAACCTCAATCACATCTACATCCCTTGAGTGTTCAATCACAGAGCATATAGGATCATACGCAGAGGGTAAACTAATTAACATTTTTTGCACAATTCTCTCTTTAGACAGTTCATCTCCATAACTTCTCATTTGATTTATCAGATCAAACAATTTTGTAAGATAAACAGACAGGGACTCATCATCTTATATTCTGTATATTCAAAATCTCTACGAAAGCCTTGTAATTTAACACTTCTAACCTGTTTGTCGCCATGAAATTCTTGCATCAAGATATCCCAAGCCCCCTTAGAGGTTTCCTCGTGAGAGATCTGAGGGAAGATCTCATTGGAAACTGCTCCCTAAATCAGCCCTAGCGCCTTGGCATCTTACATGAGCTTCTCCATGAGAGTTGCAGTATCACTCGATTCCTCCTTCTCCTTCTTTGCATCAGATTCATCAGCTCCCTTCAAATTTGAGCACTTTACTCCCTTTTCAACGAACTCCCATAATCGATGAGACTTGAAAATAGTCTTCATCCTTATGCTCCAAAACTCATATTTCTCGCCGATGAAGATCAGCGTTCTCAACTCACCACCTCCAAATCCTGCCATGTTAGACACAGATCTCGCAACCAATTTCTTCAACTTTTAAATTTTTCCTTCACAGATTCAATTCCCCAGTGTTAAGCGACCAAACCTGGCTCTGAGGCCATGTTAGAATCTCAGAGACTATGATCTATGTGGTAAGAAATGAATCGAAAATGGTGATGAAGTTTTCTTGAAAAAAATCTCAGAAAGTTGCTAAGAGAAGGTTCTCACATAAAGTTTTCCTTTTTTCATTCACACCTCACATAAACCGTGCGAAATGTATATTACCGTTAGAGAGAGAGAGAGAGAGATTGTCTCTTTATGATACAAAACTCAAATCCAACCTTCATGCAATCTACCCTATGAGATAAGATTTTTACCTTCTATGCAAATAGGGGCAAAATCACACGAAATACTTGAAGAATACAAGGATGTTGTAGTATAAATGCTCATGCAAGGTCGTTCT